GGGTGGGGGTGGGGGTGGACGTCCGCGTGTCCGGCCAGTGCACAGGGAGACTTCCAGAAGCCTGCCTCCCACCCCGGGACTCTGAGCCCGTCGGAGGGCTGGACACTGGTTAACAGAAGACCTCAGACTCGTAGTTGAACCCGGCCGTGTCCTTTCCTCCTGCCCCCAGTGTCCTGCTCTGCTCAACCTTGGCTAAGGGCTGCTGCAAGTTCACAGCCCCTGCGTGGCACCGCCCATGGGAGCAGATATCGGCCCTAAGGTGGGCAGTCACCGCTTCATCACTGTCACCCTCCCCGTTGTGGCTGTGTGGACGGGGGAACCGTGGGCTCACCTATCTACCCCCACCCTTGGATCAGAGCAGGACTCCCCGTTAGGAGAATGGGTCCCTGTTCCCCCACAGCCGGTGCACCGCGTGACCCTGGGCGTCAACGGCCTCAGGTCCTCATCTGGGAAATGGGAGGGGGCATCCCAGAGCCCCAGGGGGCTACAATTCTGTGAGGGTGGGGTGTGGAGTCTGTGGGTCAGGAGGAGGCTGGGGAGGGCAGAGGGTGTTGTAGGTCAGAAATGGAAATCAACAGCAATTTCATCACTTCCTCTTGCTGGTGACCAGCATCAGAAAGTCCCCGAGTGGCTCCCTCTGAACGTCCAGGCTGCTAGGGGGCATGGGCAGACAGACAGCCTGTCACCCAGGGGGAGAGAAGGAAGGATTCGCAAGAGGAACCCGGCGTCTTCCAGATGGAAGAAGATGAGGCTCCCCCAGACCCAAGTCAGGGAGACCCTTGGATGGACCAGGGTGGGTTCAACGAGCCCAGTGGCACCAGAAGCGCGGATTGACGTCACCCTGGGAGAGACAGCGTCCAGTGGAAGCGCCCAACTCAACCGGGTCTCAGGCCGCAGCCTCCCGGGGCAGGAGCAGGCCGAGTGACCAGCTGGAGTGCAGGAGGCGGCCGGGCCCCTGTGCGCGGTGGACTGGCCAGCCCCGGGGTCTGGCGGCCGAGCTCCCACAGTGCCGCCGTGTGGCCGCCGGGGGCTCTGCAGGAGGCTGGGCTGCAGGGGAGGGGAAGGGTGCAGGGCCGGGCACCCACCCGCGGAGAGGTAAGTGACAGCGGTGAGCCCGCACCAGTGAGGCGGGGCTGGGCGGTCACCGCTGAGGATTTCCTAGCAGGCGTGTGTGCGCCCCTGACCGTGCCCTGAGAGGCCGGCGTCTCGCCTCCACCACGTGAGGAAGCTGGGGGCCCACTCAAGGTCATTCACGCTCAGGCCCTGAGCCCGTGGGTCCCAGCACCTTCCCGACGCCCGCGCGGCCCCAAGCCTCTCCGCACCGGGCACTCCCACAGGCCTTCCTGCATCCGTAGGTGGCGGGCGCTGGCCCTCGCCAGGAGCGGGCACAGCTTGAAGAACACGTCTGAGGACAGAGCCTGCAGCCAAGTCCAGCTACCGGACGTCTGCTTGCCATGTTTCCGTGGCTTGGCCTGCTGCGGGGGGAGCCCTGGCCAGGGCGCTGGCCTGCCAGGCTCCATTTCCGTAAGAAAAAGAGCTTCTCTGTGTCTGGGCTAACACCTGGCCCCTGCCGTGCTGTGTCTTAACCCTGCTCGGTTCAGATGTCTGTGCGTCTGAGCCCTCTAGGGCCCCGGGCGTCACCCCAGAGCAGGGGCATGCTTCCTATGGCTGGCACTTTGGTCCTCAACTCATAGTAAGTGGGAGATCCAGGCCAGGCGTTGAACGAGGCATTTGGGAGTGAGGGGCAGGACCTATCATTCCTCTCCGTGCCCCCCCCCCCCCCCCCCGAGCCCCCAGTGCGATCAGTGCTTCACATCAACCAGACACAGGGCAGTACAGGAATGACTGAAAGCCCAGCCCAAGGTATGAATCACTAAGGACAAAATGACTCATATCAAAGAGCTCTGGGAAGGGCAAGGAGCCTGTTGATGTTATGGTTCCTGTGCCCCCCGTGCCCACACCGACTTCTGGAGGAGGTGGCAGGTGAGCTGGACCTTGGGGAATAAGTAAGAGTCCAACAGCCAGAGGGAGCTCGGGTCAGGTGTCCTGGCAGAGGGAAGGACACAGGCAGAGGCAGTGGGGTGGCTTCTCAGAGTCTGTGAGGGGCTGGGGAACAAGGCAGGAGAGGAAGCCACAAAGGCCTTGAATGCCCCCTTGAGGGATGGGGAGCCACAGTCCCCCTGACCCCTAGGGTGGCGGTGGGGAAAGCGGTGTTTCTGAATGAGGACCTGTGGCCCATCTGACTGGCCCAGCTGCCTGATCTGACCAGGTCTGCTGTGGCCTTTGCTGTGTCAGGGCGAACGGATGGACGATTTGGAGACGGGCCGGTGCCGCTGTCCCTGGTCTGCTTGGGGACAGCACAGGGCTCGGCTCCTGGTAAGTGACTGGCCTTGCCACACCATGGTGCTCTGGAACCGTCCCAGCTCCTGACCTGTGGGTGGGCCCTCTCAGGTTCTGGGGAGCCCCAGAGACCGTCTGTCTCACCGCATTATACAGCCGAGGACACTGAGGCACAGGCAACCGATGACTGAGCCGGCACCACAACTAGGACACCACACTGCCCTCCCTCTGCTCAGAGGCTGTGGCCCGACTCCTTCGCTGTGCCCACCTCGCTTCCTGGACCTCCCGACAGCACCTTCCCTCCACCGCGCCCCCTCCACTCTTTGATGGGGGAGATTCTGCCACAAGTGTTTCCCGTGCCCTGGGGGGTTCCCGGGGCCCCACAAAGCCTGTGGGTGGAGAAACTATCTTCAACAAGTTAAAATCCAGGGGTGCAGAGTTTGCCCTTCCGGGAAGGACGCAGGGGTGCCGCGAGCCAGCACTCCCTCTTTGTGGCAACTGGCCACGGTGGGGCATCAGTGGGTGAGGCAAGCAACCAGGGAGGTCAGGGAGGTGGGCTCAGGTTGGGGGGAGGTGAGAACCCTGGGGGTGGGCTGTGGTCCTCCTGGGCTGGGGGCAGGGCTGTCTCAGGGGGAAGAGGAGCTGACAGAGTTCTCTGTGGCTTTGTGGGCTGGAGATCTGAGGAGCCTTGGACACAGGGCCTCTCCCGCTCTTCCCATATACACAGCAACAGTAGCATCCCGGCACGTCGAGTATCTGCAGGTAAACGTAATAACGAAACGTGTGCGAGACCTTTTCATCGAGAACTACACTGAGCAAAATTGGAAAAGAAAACTTAGGGGCGCCTGGGTGGCTCAGTCGGTTAAGCATCCGACTTCGGCTCAGGTCATGATCTTGTGGTTCATGAGTTCAAGCCCCGCGTCGGGCTCTGTGCTGACAGCTCGGAGCCTGGAGCCTGCTTGGGAATCTGTGACTCCCCCTCTCTCTCTGTCCCCTCCCCAGCTCATGCTCTGTCTCGGTCTCTCAAAAAATAAGTAAACGTTAAAAAAAATTAAAAGAAGAAAAAGAAAGAAAACTTAAACGAAGAAATGGGTGGTGTTCATTTACTGGAAGCCTCAAGATTGTAAAGAGGTCAGTTCTCGTCCAATTAATGTGTAGGTTCAGTGGAATCCCCGTCCGGTCCCAGCAGAGTTTTCATCGTGTAGAAACTGACACACTGATTCTAAAATCCACTTGGAAACGAAGAGTCAGAAGTACGAAGGCAGCCGGGGAGAACGAAACTAGAGAGAGGGTATGTGCCCCCGGAATGAAGACACGTGACAAACCCACGGTGACTCTGACAGTGTGGTGCTGGAATAAGGACAAACTGACCGGTGGAAGAGGTCATGAACTCTGAAAGCGTGTCCATACATCCACGCACACGCACGTACACACGCACGGACACGCACCCACAGCTCGTTTGCGACGAAGATGACGCAGGCTGTGCAGGGGGAGATGGTGGGCTTTTCCATAATGGGGGTAGGGGAGGCCCCCGGGTGTTCACGTGGAAGGAAACGTGCACCGACCTCCAGCTCACACGTACGCAAAGATGGGTTCCAAAGATCGATTGAAGGTTTCAGTCTGAAGGTATAAGAAAAAAGCTTTGAAAAGAAAGCCCAGAAAGACATCTTTGTGACTTCGGAGGAGGCAAAGTGTGTTTCTTAAACAGCACACAAGAAGCACTAACACGGAAGAGAAAAAATTGGTAAATTGTGCTATATCGAAATTATGATCTTCTGCTCATTAGAAGATGCCATTACAAGAGTGAAAAGGAGATATTTGCGCTGAATGTATTCCATAGAGACTCATTTTCAGATTACACAAGCAAATTCCCATCAACAATTAAAAGCGGGGCACCTGGGTGGCTCAGTCGGTTAAAAGTCCGGCTCTTCGTTTGGGCTCAGGTCACGATCCCAGGGTCGTGGGATCGAGCCCCACCTTGGGGTCCATGCTGAGTGTGCAGCCTGCCTAGTATTCTCTCTCTCCCTCCCTCTGCCCCTCTCCCCCTTCTCGTGCTCGCTCTTTCTCAATGATTAATAATAATGAAATTATTTTAATACTAATTATTTTAATTATAATTATCTCTTTAATAATTAAAAGGTTTTCTTAATAATAACTTAAAGAGAGGGTACCTCAACGGAAAAATGGGCAAGCTTTTAGAGCACACACCTCACAAAAGAAGCTATCAAAGGGGTCCCTAGATATACAGAAATGTACTTAGCTTCACTAGTTACCAGGTAAACGATGAGTAAAAGCACAATGCAGTGGCACTGTACCTTCACCGTAACAGCTAAATAGGAAAATGACAAGAGTGCCGGGCGTGGGCAAGGACGTACGGCGACCAGCCCCTCCCATGTTATAAATTGGTGCGACCTCTTTGGAGTCACTCGGCGGTATCCACTAAAGCTGACCACGTGCAAACCCGTGACCTAGCATTTCCACGGATGGAAATGTATACACAGGGCCCCGAAGATATGTGCCAGAGTGTTCGCGGCAGTGCCGCTCTTACTAGGCCAAAGTGGAAACTACTCAAATGGCCATTGAGAATAGAATGGAAGAAAAGCGTGGTATATTCACACCATGCGATCCTATAGAGCAAAAGAAGGAGCCAGCTATAACCGCGTGCTGCATTCTGGGTGAAGATACGGTGGTGCACAGAGTGTGCTTGTGCACAAGCACACACACCCACACACGCGGTTCCATCTGCATAAAGAGGCGAGACTAAGCTGTGTCGGTGGGGGGACTTCTGAGCCCAGCGGAGGGCTCAGTCAAGCCGCACGCTTAGGACGGACGCCCGCACGTTTCTGTATGCATGCAATTGCTCGTCCCAAGGGGAAAAACAAATCCTGTGATGTTTTTCCTCTCAAAGGCCAGTTCCTAGAATATGGGATCTACTGTCTTCCCCACCCTTTGTGGGCAATGTCCTTCCAGCCATTCTCCAATCTGCCACCTATCCACCCACGGCCACACACCCACCAGCCTCATAACAGTTCCTCCACCCACCGACCCACGTATCCTTCTATTTGTCCGTCCTCTAATCCACACTTCAGCGAGCTGTAGCTCGTAGGCCAAATGTGGCCTGCCGCTTGTTCGTAAAGAAAGTTTTGTTGGAGAATAGTCCATTCGTTTCCATATTGTCTGTGGCTGCCTTCGTGCTCCAATAACAGAGCTGAGGAGTTGCTACAGAAACTTTATGGTTTGCAAAGCCTAAAATATTAATTATCTGGCCCTTTGGAGAAAAGAGTTGGCCAACTATCCACTCGTCCCGTCATATCCCACCCGATCCCACCCCATCCCCCCATCGACTCTTACCCCGTCCCATCCCGCCCCCT